GTATCAAGATTGTCTGTCAATATTTCTGAAGAAAAAACAGGAAAAACTTTATTATGCATTACCAAAGATTTTAGTTAATGTTTGTTTGGATTTTAGTTTTAAAAGTAGAGTTCTTTAAACTGTTTTTTTTTTAACATTTTAGCATTTATTTTATTAACTGCTCATATCACATATGCATTTTTACAAGTAAAAATGCATATGTGATTACAGTGATCGACGCTCTGGGTCTTTTTCTTCAGTAGGAAAAGGAATAAGTTTAAATGGTTCAGAACAACAGCAATTAGGATCTTCTTTTGAACATTTATGAATTTCACAAATAGCTTCTTTCCACTTTTTAAATTTGGTTGAGTGATTGGAACAACCAATGAAAGAAAAGTGATGTAGCCATATTAAGCAAATAATTAAACTAATATAAACAAATCCAATGTTACTTCTTATGCTGTTTGTTTATTTTATTTATTCTATATCTACTTTTTTGTGTAAAATACGCACGAAAGATTCAAGTTTCTTATTATTCCAGAATTTAAAAAATTTCGAATATCGTCTGTTGCTCAGCTTTACATGAATAAAAACTTCAAAAAAAAATAGCGAAGTTTTTATTCACGTAAAGCTGACCAATTACTAAGTAAAAGTTCATTTTTATTACCCGGCCTATTATTATGCATAATATAATAGTTTGATCCTAACCTTGAAACTAATAAATCAATTAATTTTATAGTCAGATTTTTAAAATTAAAAAAACCTAACCTTATCATTTAAAGATCATAATCAACCTTATCATTTAAAGATCATATTCGATTATTTTCAAAATTTCGAATTTTTCCCACATTTTATATACTGATATTATCTATTTAAATGTTAGAATAATTGAAAGTTTTTTTGTTCTAAAAAAAGGCAAAGAAAATAACGATTTCTGTTGATGCGCAACTATTGGTAGTTCAGTTTTTCATCAATATTTCAAAATCAATTTACTCGGTCTTAGTAAGTTTTGCAAATGGGCTCCAATTATACCAACAAATTTCTTTATTAGATTTGTCTATGAAATATTTTTTTTTTTAATTTTATTTTTAGGTGCCCTAAGAAAACCTAACGGTCTTGTCACAGAGCACCGCGGAACTGCTTTTAACCAGGAAGTTCACGCCTCCTTCCTTCCGTAATGCGAAAATATGTCCAGAGCTCGTTTCGAACCTACATCTCCTGCTTATAAAGCAAGTGCTCTAACCACAGCGCCATGGCCGCGTAATTCGATATCTTTTACGCAATGACATGCAAATTTCGCAAAAATTTATATATATATATATATATATATATATATATATATATATATATATATATATATATATATATATATATATATATATATATATTTATATATATATATAAATTTTACATCTATACCCATTAAAATTTAATGGGTATAGATGTAAAATTTATATATATATATATATATATATATATATATATATATATATATATATATATATATATATATATATATATATATATGCACAAAAGTTTAATCGAGATAAAGTTTTTCATAACTTTGTGCCAGTTTTTCTAACATTAAAGTTTAACGGATATAGATTTAAAATTTTTTTGTGCGTGTGTTTTGCTATTTATGTTTATATCAATAAAATTTACAAAAAAAAAATATTCACACATCCTACACTACTTCCGTAAAACTAATTAAACGTTATACGATGTATTTTTCTGATGACATAAAAGTTTAATCGAGTTAATTAATTATACTTTTTTCACACTCATTAACTAATTATTATACTTAATTACCGCTATAAATTATAAATATAAAGAGTAATTATAATTCGTAAATAAACTAATAATTTTAAATTTACAAAAAAATCTTTTAATTGCAAAAAAATATCTAAAGAATAACTGCAATACTTTAAATTTCAATTCGCTTGTGTGTCAGAGAACATCAAATTTGCTTGTGTGACAGAGAACATCAAATTCGCTTGTGTGTCAGAGAACATCAAATTCGCTTGTGTCAGAGAACATCAAATTCGCTTGTGTGTCAGAAAACATCAAATGGCAGATTATTGAACTGGTCATATCAAAGAATCATAACAACGTTAAATTTAGTAAACTTATGAGTGTTCCTGAATTTTGTGTGCGAAAAATAGTGAATATCCGGGAATATTCAAAACCAGTAGAAAAAATCTTAGGCTCAGCAACAAAAAGCTAGCTAAAATATTCAACCAATCCTTTTCTAATCAAAATGTAAGCAAAAAACTTGTTAGAAGAACATAAGCAAAAAAAGGTATTGGGTCTTACATTGCAATAAGAAAGCCAAGGTAGTGGAAGCTCTTACTGAGTCTCCACTACCTTTTGTGAGCTGTATAATGGCCAATATACCTAGAAAAACACACTCGAAACACGTTTGACTCCATTAATAAGGCAAGATTTTGATTCCATTGTACGGCAGAAGCAAGCAATACATCTTCCAGCAAGATAGGACTCCAGCACACACAGCACACAGTATAACAAACTGGATTACCACAAAGAAGATCAAATTGTTGCCTTGGTCCCCTAGATTACCAGATATCAACCCCTGAAAAAATATTTGGTCATGGATTGACACTCAATTGGTAAACCATCAAAATCAATCAACTGAGCATTTGAAGCAACATCTGAACGATCTGAATTACATAGGTAGAACATCTACTCTCCAGTAGATGTTCTACCTATATAATTCAGATCGTTCAGAAGTGATACTGATACAAAGCTCTTTATATAAAGAGTTTTCTCGTAATCTCAGTTTATGAAATCGTTTATAAAAACGGTTTATAAAAATGGTTTATGAAACCGTTAGTTTCACAATTATGAAACCAATAGTTTTATAATTATGAAACCGTTAACTATGAAACCGTTAGCTTCATAATTATGAAGCCGTTAGCTTCATAATTATGAAGCCGTTAGCTTCATAATTAGTTGATAATAACGTCATAATTATGAAGTTGTTAGTTATTATTATTTAGATTTCAATGTTTTTTTGAGATAAAATAAAAAATGGCACACTTTTAACAACTACCAAATAAAATATCTACGAAAAGTTAACCATAATAACTAAATATTTTTGACTGATACTAATAAAACAAGATTTTATTTTTAGTTTACATGTTTTATTACAAAAAGGCACACTTTCAAATGTAATTCAGACGTCTTTTAAACGTTTCACGCTGACGAAAAAAAAAATATTTTGGATCCAAAAAGGTCTAGGACATTTAGGACGTAAATTGAATGTACATTCTACGTTTTTTGTACGTCGAGCGTTTGCTGGATGTGTCTATTTTTGTTGCATTTTTTTAAATACTTGTTTAAAAACATTTTTTTTTAAATATACAATTCTGCTTGCTATCTAAGTTATTAAAAATAATTTAAACATTTATTTGAATAAGATATTATTTATGTATAACCATATAAATCACTAATTACTCAATAACAAACCGATGACTTAAATAATGGAATACTCTTTTAAACGACAATCTTAAAACACTTTGATTGCTTAATCAATTTAAAACGAAACTAAAACAAAATCTTTAACTAAATGATACAGAATTAGTTGAGCTGAATTTAAACATAGAACGTAAAACACTTGGAGCGTATTTATTTTGGTGCAACAAGAACGAAACTGATGAAGCTAGTACATGATACAGCAGTAAAAAAAGATGTTCCACATCTTTTTAATAGTGATAAAAGGTCGTCAAGTAAAGGTGCTTATACTCATCTCTATAATGACATCATGAAATGAGTTTAAGGCAAGCTTCGGCTACCTCAATTGATAGAGTCTCTGATTTAAATAGAATTTTACAGATTTATAAAGAAGCTTTAAAAAATGTACTATGTATAGTGCTTCTAAGTATACTAAACCTTTTTGAGGCTTCACGAATAAACATACCTTCATTGATTGCACCCATACACTTTTTCAAGAAAATGATATTAGAACAATTGTTGTATGCACGTTTTCCAATAATATGCTTGTTATATGTACGAGGCATTATGCTTTAAGGGGTATACTCCCCCATTTTTAAATATAGACAATAAATAACAACATTTGACATAAAATGATTATCCATATCATAAATGTAGAAAATTAAAAAAAAAAAAATTGGTCAACGGTTTCTGCAGTAACCGTAAAAAAACCCCAAAATAAGCAGAAAATAAGATTTGCGCTGGCCAAGTTTTAGCAAAAACTAATAAAAAAGGCTGAACAAAACTTTGGAAACACAATTAGAATAGGTTTATGAGTGTTTTAAACGAAACAGATTTTTTTTAAAAAGTTCTGGGCCTGATGACTTGTGATCTAAAGTTAACAATAGAAAAAAGTGCATTTTTCGAAAAATTAAATTAGCTATACTGTTTTGTTCATAAGTATTTCAAAATTCTGTTCCGTTTAAAACACAGCTTTTATAAAAAGGAAAATTTGTTGAAAATTTCAGATAAAACGCTCAAGCGGTTCTCTTGGAGGTTCTATATTTAATATTAAAAACCTCCTCCTTCATATGTTTTACTTTCTTTTTCAGAGGTTTTGTCACTTTTTTTCAGTTTTTTAGCCCTTAACTTTTGACGATGTAACTTGTTATGGGAGTTTAATTTATAGATCGACGATTTAATGCGTGTTTTATTTATGTCGATAGAACCGTTTAGTGTATAAAAACCTGGAACCATGTTCAGTTTTTCATATATTAGAGTTGAAGACTTCATCTAAATGTTAAAATTGGCAACAGCATCATAAACACCAAACTTCAGCAAAGTCAGCGAGACATATTTCGTTTTCGGTATGCGATCCCAAATTTTCCCATGGAAAGACTCATTTGCATTTTGCGTTTTACGGTGCAGACATTTTTTAAGCTCATCTTCTTTTGTGAGCTCTTCAAACACAGGTCTAATCTTGTATACAACCTCTAACGGTAGACCAGGTCCGGGCTCGTAGGTGTTAGTGCTATTTGCTTTGTCTCTGTTAAATTTACACCAATTGCTTACACCTGTTGGACAATGTGGATAGTGCCAATTATTTGCTTTTGATGATGCAACGTGAAAAAGAGTAGCAAGCGCTGCTGATTTCATGGCAATTAAATTACCAGTATTCTGTCTAATTGCCACACCAAAGAAATTTTGCAATCGATCAATTGTTGCATCTGTCAATCAACCACGACCGCCCAGTCCCCTAACTTTTTTTTCAAATTCCGGAGTCTGGTTCCAACACGCTTCTGATAGTGTCCAACACATTCTAATTTATTTACTTTAATATTAGGATAAACATCCTTGACACTATTGTAACTTTTGCTATCTCCATCACCTAAAAAGTTAATGTACTGCAACTTATGCTTTTTAATCGAACGCTGGAAAATACGACTGGCTCCTTCGCACTCCATTCTACCTGCAGAACCTACGTAATTCATTTTACAAATGTGGGAATTTCTCCACTCGGCGTATGCATTAGGATTTTTTTCAGAAAGTTTTTGATTTAAGGAGCACCCTCTGCATACTCGACTCATCACCTCAACATCTAAAACTTTCCCACTGTCCATTGAAAGTGCTGCAAATACACCATTCAATGATGAAAATCCCCTACGTTGCCACGTGCCATCACATGATACACCAACATCAAGAATCTCATTATTGTCTTGACACTGTAGTCTTAAATCAGATACAGCATCAGTCATTGTTTCCTGTGCAACTTCCTCTATAATATTAGTAATTTTTAAAACAAGTTTGTCATAGTTTTTTGGCGTCATTGGTTTTGGCATGTTCATGAGGGTTGTAAACATTTCTATTCCGGAATGTCCTAATCCAAGAGTCCTCATTGTATATACTGTTCGATTGTTTATATCAAAGTTTCCTTTTTTATTAACTAACTTAGAAGTGTAAAAGTTATTTTGATACTTACACTTTAAACAAATAATAGAAAGTTCACATGCAAGTTCTTGCTTTTTGCTTTTGTTTTCAATGATTGCTAAAGTCGTTTGGAGACAAGTCGGACAGCTCAAAACGCTAATAACATCAGGCAAAATTGAACAATCAATAATTCTATATCCTGTCAGAACTTTGTTTTTAGTAGTGGTATTTTTTTGTGGAGTTGAGCTGCTTCAACTTTGCGAAGATAAGAGCTTGGCGTATCGAAGAAATCAGTTTGACTATTTACAGGTGATTCGATATTTATACTTAAAGAAGGAAAATTTACATTATCTACACTCACACTGCTACTTATCACTTTTCTATTAAAAATCTTCTTTCTTTTGCCTGCTCGCTTAGTTCTAACTTTAATTCGATCAGCCTTAACCATGTCTGAAAACTAAAAAATTTAAAATTTCTGGGACAAAAAATAAGCGGGTAGGTACAATCGGCAGAGCAGAGCAGATTGGCAGAGCAGATCATTGAAATGTTAATAACGGCAGAGCAGATTATTCAATCAGCCGTTTCCTAATGTGCGATCTGCCAAATAATTCGGCAGATCATATAACAGAATTTTTATAATGTGATTGCCAAATATTTTAATGAAAAACGATGCACTTCGAATAAAAAGAACTATGAGTTGACTTTTTAATATTTTGGCAGATCATAATGCAACCGGCAGAGCAGATTGGCAGAGCAGATCATTGTAATAATAATAACGGCAGAGCAGATTATCACAGACAGACAATCATCCGTTTTCAATTTTGTGATCTCCAAAATTATATTTTAATAATGCGTGATCTGCAAAATAATATTTGAATAATGTGTGATCTGCCAAATAATATTTGGCAGATCACACATTAGAAAACTGCTGATTGGTTATCTGCTCTGCCGCTATCAACATTACAATGATCTGCTCTGCCAATCTGCTCTGCTCTGCCGATTGTACCTACCTAAAATAAGCTTCAAAACAACAAAACGAACTTTGTCTTCATATACCAAAAATAAAGTGCTAACAAGTCTAACAAGAAGCCAAAAATGCTTTAACTAAAAAATTTTTGGCTTCTTAAATGCTTTAACTTGTGAAATCAATACGTTGTTTTGGTTTACAAGTGATTTTTATAGGGGTAAAAAATTTTCTCTTTTTTGTACCTAACTCTCAAAAACAAAAAATTTTGGTATTTTGAGGTTATTTTTAGGTAAAACAATCAACATTTCTGAAACCCCCATATATTTAAGTGTTTAAATCAGTTTTTTTTTTTTTTTTTTTTTTTTAAATTTCTGGGGGAGTATACCCCTTAAACAAAAGTAAATATAAACAACACAAGAAAACTGCAACGTAGTAATTTATTAAACTATTATATAATTTTATTAAATTGCAATTAAACTTAAAACTAAGAGTCTATAAATTTTAATCTTGTTATAAAGTTCATAAAATTATGATTTAGCAACAACAACAGCAAATACTTTAACAAGAAAACATACTTTTTTTAAAATCCTTAAATACATTCGTGCCAGTAGAGGATTAAGACTTCTTGGGGCCCGGGGCTATTTTTATTTTTGGAGGCTTTTTTATGGGCTAGAGCCTAAAAATGACTAAAAAAAAAGTAAAAAGTCCTCTAAAATATTTGGGGCCCCTAACTTTGCGGGGCCCGAGTCTATAGCCCCCCCTATTTGGAAAACATGCTTCAAAAAAATATTCTTGTTATAATAAATAACGATCTTTAAAAATAAATAGACTACTTTAAAATGAATATTATTTACTTGGCCAAAGTTACTCCAAAAGAGTATAAACCTACGGGGTAACTTTGACCCCTCTGTAAAAAAAACCAGAATGTTGTTACTTGAGCCAAAAACTTTTCACCTAATTTTATCTGAACGTTTGTCTTTAAAACAGAAAAAAAAAAGTTGTTTGCTATCATTTTTATTTTCGCCCAGGCAACATTTTGTTTTACAGTTTTTGGTGGTGTTTTACCAAGATGTAGTTTTCATTCTTTTTCACTTATAGTAAAGAGCATTTGCAACGAACTTCAGATCAATATTTAAGCAAGAAAGATTGCATTTACAAATAAAACAAAAATAATAAAACGTTACTTAAATGGTTAAAAGTTACAGATGTTTAATTAAAATTTTTTAAAATGGCCAAAGTTATCCCGATGGCCAAAGTTACCAGTATAGTTAAAGAATTAAATTTTTTTATTTTGTTTTTAAAAAGACAAAAAGAATTTGGTCAATCAAAATCAAAATTAGGTAAAACAAGTCTATTCCATAGGTGCGGTGCACGATAGGCAAGACAAAATTGATTAAAATTTGTTTGACAAAAAGGTTCGTTAAAAAAATTTTTTTTTTAAGAGTGTATATGTTGCTGGGTTTTAAATTAAAAAGATCTTTAAAGACTGTGAGGGGGATAGGTTGTTTTTCCAAAAATAAACAAAGCATAAAATTTTAAAAATTTACCATTACCATTTCAAAAAACAAAAATTGTTTTAAAGAAAATTTTTTAATTATTTTTGTATATATAGTTTATGATTTATAAGTGAATGAGAATAATTTATGATTTATAAGTGAACCAAATTTTGATTTTGACTGATCAAATTCTTTTTGTCTTTTTTAAAACAAAATAAAAAAATTAAAAAAAAAAACGTTGAGTTCATATATATTTATAATTTTCATTTCAATAAAATAATGTTTACAATGAGAAAAACGACCAGGAAAGTTAGTTATGCGAATTGTTCGTTTCTGACAGCGATTAAGACGATGTAATTTACTTTTTTCAGTACTTCACCAGGCAATATTAGTGTAGCTTATGTAGCAGTGAACAAATAAGAAATAAAGTTGTCTTAGGTTTTTCTTATTAATATAAGTTCGAGCTTTCTATAAAACTTCAATGTTTTTAGAGACTTTGGTTCATACATAATTATGTTGTCATACATAATTATATTGATTCCAAGTAATGTTCTCGTCGAGATAAAAACCTAAGAATTTAATAACGGAGTCTCTTTTTATTGCAATAAAGGTTTTTTTATTGCATAAAGGTTTGAGGCAAGTTTAAGGGTAAAAAAAAAAAATTCTAAATCGAATGAAAGAGAATCCATTTAGTTTTGACAGCATTTAATGTTAATTTATTGGATTTGAACAAGTCAGATAAAAGTTTAAGTTCTTTATTTATGGTAGCAAAATGTTCGCTAATATCACTCTTAGAGATGAATAAATTAGTATCATCAGCGATCATGATGCTCATCAAATTAGTTGCTTTATTTAGATTGTTTATATAAACTAATAAGCTCCGAGGATTGAACCTTGTGGAACTCCACGGGTTATATTTTTTTTTAATTTATATTTCAATTAAAAAATATTTGTGCTAGTTGTCATTCTCAGCAACAAAGAATTAGATTGTTTTTTGTTTGTTAAGTAACTTCTAAACCACCTTAACGCTTCGTTATTTACTTCATAGTGATTCAGTTTTTCGAGTAGGTTAACCGTATCGAAGGTCTTCGATAGGTCAATAAAAATACCTAATGTTTATTTTGATTGTTCAAAAGATTTTGAAATTTCATTTACAAATTGGATAACTGCACACTCTGTTGAGCTATCTTTTTTAAAACCAAATTGATTAACATTGAGTAGGTTATTTTTGTCACAGTGTTTATGTATTCTGTTGCACATAATTCTATCTAGAATTTTTAAAAATAGAGAAAGCACAGAGATGGGGCAATAATTAGTTATTTGGGATTGGTCACCCTCTTTATAAATAGGTGTAACTTTGACAATTTTTAATTGTTCCGGAAAAATTCCTTGTTTAATTGAGACATTGAAAACTTTGAAAAGAACATCTTTTAGTTGCTCAAAGCAATCTCTAATCACGTTTCCATTTATTTCGTCTGGTCCACATGATTTATTTTTTTATCTAGATTTGCCTTTTCAAATTTTTTAATTGATAAATCAGAGGATAGCTCATCAGAGAATATTAATTAGTGACTTCTTATTACCCTTCTCCAAGGGTAATAAGAAGTCACTAAATAAAGTTCTGGTGATAGGAGTCTTATTTGATAGTTTATGACCTATTTCAGTAAAAAAATTATCAAATTCATGTGAAATAGCGTTTGGTTCAAATATAATAGTGTTATCAATTTTAATCATTTGTGGTAGAAAACTAAAGCATGATTTTTTTTTCTGTAATTTCCTTCATTATTTCCAAAAATACGTTTAGTGTTATTTTTAAATTTGTTAAGTAATTCCGAGTAATAATTTTTTTTTAAGTTTTTAAGAATTTTCTCAAATATTTATAGTTTTTGTAAGTTTTTTCATTTACAGTTGTTTTTGTTTTTAGAAAACTTATATATAACCTCTGCTTAATTTTGGAAGATTTTTTAATCCCCTTGATAACCCAAGGAGAACTCAAACTCTTAGACTTTGGTATTATTTCAACTATGGGAAAGTTAGCGTCGTATACAGAATAAAAAGTTTTGAAGAAAGTTTCATATATGTCGTTTGCGTTATCAATTATGTTAATATTATTCCAATGGAATAAGGATAGTTGGTCTTTGAATAAATTAAGTTGATAATACTTTTAGTATAATAAATTAAGGTTAGTAATACTTTTATATTGTCAATGTTTTTTGCTATATATGTATCAATTGTTACAAAAATGGGAAAATGGTCCGTTATATCAGTTTTTAAAATACCTTTTTTATGCCATTATTAAAAATATCAGTTGAAATAATATTATCGATTAAAGTTGATGAGTTTATAGTTACTCTGGTAGGGCAATTAATGAGGAGGATTGATCCTGTTTCAAAAAAAGCGCCAAAAAGCTTTTTACTTTATAGTCGTTGTTATAAAAAAAACAATTCATGTTAAACTTGTTTCTTAAGTGTCCCTATATGCCCCGCTCTACCCTACTTGTATTTTTTTTTATTGTTGATATTTTTGAAACTCTATTTGTCCTTATTTTTCTGCCATATGTATATATCTCAAAACGAAACAATTTGAGGGTCGTCCAGAGATTACGTCACGCAATTTTTGACTGTTTTAGACCCCACCCCCTTCCCTCGTCACAACATTGTAACTCTTTAGTAACAAGCTCCGTATGAGTCGTCACTAAAACATTATCCTTTCCCTCTCCCCCTTTCTCTTTAAAACGTGACGTAATTTATGGACGACCCCTTGTAACATTCTATGTTTTACGGTAGCACCACCAATTTTTTCCCTGATTTTACGTATCCCAAATTAAACCATCAATTTTTTTTTTGCAGAGATTTTTTACTGAAGTTTATGATTTGCACAGCACATCAATATTAAAAGCTCAAAACCTGACATTCCTTCTTTTTCCTTTAAACCTTAAAATAGGGAAGCGGTCTTATATGTCAGCTTTAATGGTATCTTTCTGAGTTGTTAAAAAAATCTATTGTAAAAATATTGTCAATAAGATTAGCAGAATTTTTTGTTACTCTAGCAGGATGATTAGACAGACAGCCCATATTAAAATCCCTGATTAAAGTTTTTTTCCTTTATTGTTACCAGTGGAGCCGTTATTAGATATATGGTGGACAAAATTATTTTGATCTTTTTTTTTTTTACTATAACCCTAAATAATTACTTTGTATCAATATTTACTTTTGTAAATTTTTTTTAATTTTTTTTTACTTTAATTTACTTTTATAAATTTTATTTAAATTATAAATTTTAATTAAATAGTTGCTAATACAAAAAATTATTTAACAAACTTTGTAAAACTTTAAAAATGCGGATTTATAATTTTTTAATTTCAAATCCTTTAACTTCTTAAAATCGTGGAACTGAATAACAAACTCTAGGTGGAATAAACTTAAAAAAAAGTTCATGTAGCAAACTTTAAAAATAAAAATACGCACTTCAGAAAAAATGAAAGTTTATCACTACATATAAAACTCTATTATCGAATAATCACATGTCGACGACGTTTTGAATAAGTCTGTAGATTATTTATTATCTCTTTATATAACAATGTATTTCTTTAATTTTTAATCTATTTGCTACGCATTCTGGATGAATAATATTACAATTTTTATTATTATAAAGTCTGATGAGTTCTAAAGGTACTATGCAAATAATCAACAGGCACTCTTCATTTGTTAGACCGTGTTCTATTTTCATTTTAACTTACTTGTGTGTAAACACTATATCCTGTAGTACCATCAAAACCAGCTATGCATCTAAACGTCAGTTTAGCTAATTCCTTAGCATAGTGATTAGCACAGTAGTTTGTATACTACACAGCTTTTTTAAGAGCGTGATTTAAAAAATCTTTTAACGGTATTTGCACTGAATAGACATCTATATGAATGTTCTTAGGATAGCATATAGCTTTTGAAGATTTTATACCATTATATAAAGGATATATGTAGCAGCCGTTTTTTTCAGCACCATTTCTTTGAAACTGGTATGTTGATTTTGATATATCACCATTAACAATTAATGCTAAGGCTTCATCAGGTGAATATATCTAAGCAGGTCTAATGGGTTTTTAATTTTAAATTTTTCAGCAAAATTCAGCAATTTTTGAGCCAGTTTCGTACTTAAACCTACTTCTTAGTTTTGATTTTGTTTCATGAAGTAATTTGGGGGTAAATAAAATATTAAAAACTATGTTTAAGCTTACTCTTTTTGTTCTGTTACAAGCTTTTTCAAAAGAGCAACATGGTTTTTCAACTTCATTAACTGATGATGTAGCATTTGAAAATCTTGAGCTAGCCAATTTTCATTACTTCTCTCAAAATTAGTATTATCATTGTTTTGCAGTTATCCACTTTTTACATTATACTTTTATAAAGGTTTTCACTCAGAATCCGCTAGGTTAATATCAAAAGTTGACGTAATTTTATAGGAGGGGGTGGGGTTATCTGGAAATTTCACAAATTGTTGACAAGGGGGAGGGGAGGTAAAAATTTCAAAAAATTTGTTGACGTAATTAATGGACAGCCCCTTATCTGTTGCGATCGCTTTATTACCGTCAGAAAAGTTCAAATCGCTTTTATCTTAAAGTGTAATGATTTCTTTAACGTTTTTAATTCAAATAAAGCATCACTCGAACATTATCAAAATCAGTAATTATTCAATAGCTACTATTTTAAGCAAGTTTCCAAATAGTGACTTTATACCTAAATCTGTTTTTTATAACTATCAATCGGGGCTAATTTAACACAACAAAAGTTTTAGGCTTCTAAAATAAATTACAACCTTCAATTTTATCAATTCACTCGGACTTGAGCATGTTTTGCAGATGGGATCTTCATATACATAACTATGTATGTATAACAAAGAAAAAAACTGTCACAATTAAGACGCAATTCTTACAGAAATATGTTAAAAGATTTAAAAAATCATTTAAATTCTTTTACAAGTTGCACTCATTAAAAAACATTGATAGTTTGCATTTAAAGAAAAAAAGAAAAACCATTCACTGAAGAAAATAATTTAAACAAAATACCAATAAGATTATTTAGCAACAGTACCACAACGTAACCATGTTCTTACAAAGCGAGAAAAAGAGAATGAAAGATAGTGAGAAAGAAAGAGGCAAAAAAAAAAAAAAGAAGCTATTTTTAAAACGTAAATCAAAAATACTTCAAAATATTTCTCATATCCTAGCAATTAAAAAATGGACTATATAAACGTTCCCTTTAAACCGTGAACAAATTAGCGTAAATTAGCATCGTAAAATAAGTATTAACAATGCTAAAAAATTAAGAGTTAAGACAAATATATTCAATCCCCCTCACTAAACAAAAATTCGTTTGCAAGAAAATTGTCCATAAAATAGAATTTTTAAAATAATTATTTCTTTTCTATTAAAAATTAGTCTTTAGAGCATCAAGATAAAAATACTATAGATCCTAATATTTTAACTTATATCTTCATTATTTGTTAGTTTTTGCTAGTTGTTAAAATTAAGTTTAATAATGAAAATACAACAGTTCTGTAAAAATCAACTGATGTTCTATAAAACGTTCTGAATTATCTTTTAATTTAATATTCTTTTTATTGCCATATATATAAAAAAACTTTATCCAAAATATTAAAGTTTAACGTATGTTGACAAATTCCGCCTTCATTGCACGAATAACGACTTCAGAGTTAGAACTAAGTCGTTGCAACCGCTGAAATAACGCGAATATTACTTAAAAATCATGATTTAAAAATGTTACTACAATTGAGACTTTTAACTATCTTCAAAATAATTTGGCTTTTCAATAGGAGGTACATGAGTCATAGACGAAGTAGACCTACGATAAAAAAAATATATAAAATTCCAAAATACACAATAATAAATAATATAATATTTTTTAACTAAAGCTATAAAAAAAATAATAAAAACTTAAAATATACAGCTAAGTTTAGGTAAATTGTTTTTTATTACTTTTTAATTAATTATATTATATTTAACTGACTTTTGAACAAAAACTGTATTGGACTATAATTGTAACTGCATTATAAATAATAGTGATCGACCAAAAATTATTAGTATTTCCGAGAACGAAAATTTACTATAACTTTAGCTCAAATAAAATCAAAAAAATCTTTTCTACTGCCATAAAAAAACTTTATCCAAAATTGTGTACTCAGACATTCTTTAAAAAGCAAAACAAAGTATGGTTTGCTAATTTTTTTAATTTAGTCGGTGTTTGTTAAATAAAAGTTTTTGGAGCAGACACAACATATACTTAGTAACAAAGTCTGATGATTTGTTAAAATTTAGAAAAACACGCAATTTCATAAAGTATGTGTATACTTTATAAAATTTCCTATAACTTCGCCTCATATTTTGTTTATTTATTACTTTCAAACCTATAAATATTTTCATCGATTATTTTTAATTGGTAATTTTACACCGTAACTGAAATAATCAACGAAATATTAGTGCTATCTTAAAACATAAAAAATTGCATAAAAGTTGTTCACTTCTAGTGGACAACTTTAGATAACATATTCAGGGGGGGGGGGGGGGAGGGGATTACAATAATACCTTAATCTGCATTTGTTTTAAAACAAATTTCTTTTAAATTCAGATGTAAAACCCTTTTAATCTTAGCCTCTGCGCCAATAACTTCTTAATGTAGAAAAAAATTAAATGGATATAGCTAAAGATATAACTAGGATATAAATAGATTAGTAAGTGTTATAACCAACACATTACCAATTTGATCTGTAAAGTGGAGTTAATTAGTATTTTTTAAAAGTCTCCTATAAAAAAAGAATAAAGTCTCCTATAAAAAAAGAATAAAGTCTCCTATAAAAAAAGAATAAAGTCTCCTATAAAAAAAGAATAAAGTCTCCTATAAAAAAAGAATAAAGTCTCCTATAAAAAAAGAATAAAGTCTCCTATAAAAAAAGAATAAAGTCTTCTATAAAAAAAGAATAAAGTCTCCTATAAAAAGTAAGAATTAAAAAAACTTCAGTCTGAATTCCACAACATGGAAGATTTATATAGAAATAAATTTTAATTTTAAAATAATTTTTTAGTATCACGAAAAATAAATGACATCGATTGTTGCTAAAACCTAACTGAAACCTTTAAATGAAAGATAACAAAAATATATTAAAAAACATACAGAGTTGAGCTTAGAGTTTGTACTCCAGACGATTGGTGTGGACTTTGTTTGAATTCTCGCTCAATTAAAGCTGTCAATTTAACTTGTGGTATAAAAGAATCTCTAAAAAATCCAATAATAATCGTTTTGCCATGAGTTAATAACAATGATAAATAAACAGAAAAAAATGAACTATATATAAACAGAAATAAATGTACTCAATTAATTAACTTCAAACAATTTTTTATTAAATTAATATTCTATAAAATAAACAATACCTATAAAGGTATCGTTGCTTTGAATACCTATGATCAGTGCTGAAAGTATTTGAAATACTAAGTATTTAAAATACTATTTTAATCACTTACTTTGTATTTGTATTTTAAATATTTTTGTTGAAAGTATTTAGTATTTGTACTTAAAATACTTTTGATTAGTATTTTGTATTTTGTACTAATTAAAAATACCTGTAATTCAAATACCGCTTAAAACATTCACAACACCGCACACGAACAACTAAACTAACTGTTATGTCATAGTGTCAATCTACCACTATTTATTTTGAATTATATCTTACTTTATTTATCTACCTTTATTTCATTAGGGTAATTATCAAATTATTTCGCGGGAATCAACAATTTTAATTAACTTAATTTAACGAGGAGATTAACGGAGGATGAAGTTAATGAGGATGAAGTAAATGTGGATGAAATTAATGTAATCCCAGCAAAAATTATTTTAGCGAATTTGCAGTGGACCTATATAGACATTTTTTAGCGGTTCATTGAAGTTTTGCTTATCGGTTGCTTAGTGGACCATTGGTGGCAACTGCTAAAAAAGGCAAGACAATAAATTTCTAACATTTTAATAGTGGCTAGTCATCGGCTAGCCACTTTTAGCGGCTACCACCAATGGCCCATTAAGTTACCAATGAGCAAAACGACAGCAGTCCGCTCAAAACGCCTATATAGGTTCACTGAAAACCCTCTATATCATGTTTGCTGGGATTAATATTGGAGACATTTTTCAGTTTCACCAGAACATGATGATGATGATGATGATGATGATGATGATGATGATGATGATGATGATGATGATGATGATGATGAGTCCATAGCCAAGAGTATTTCTTTGCCATCTCATGAAACATGTATCAGCCATTCACTGAATCTATTGGCAACTATCCAGCAAACATGCTATAGCGGAATTTCAGTAGATCTATGAGACATTTTGAGCGAACTGCTGTAGTTTTACCCATCGGTTACTTAGTAAACCAATAGTGGTGGCTGCCAAAGGTGGCTTGCCAATAATTAACCACCATTAAAATGTCGGAAAAATTATCGGCTTGCCATTTATAGTGGTTGCCACTGATGGTCCGCTAAGTAACTGATGAGCTAAACTCCAATAAACCACTAAAAAATGCCTATATTGGTTCGCTGTAAATCCACTAAAACAATGTATGGTGGGTAATAATGCTAAGAAGGCATGGGATACAGACAGTACGTTTAAGCATACATACAGTGCAGATCTGGCAAAATGCATTTCAATATGGAATGCATTTTGCCAGATCTGCACTGTATGTACGACGAATTAGTAAAACATCAGATGCTGTGTCAAATATTACAGACAAAAGCAATACTCTGCCCCGTGGCAACATGTTGGAATTCTCAGTACGATACTTTCATGCAATTACTTGAATTATGTGACAAACTTAATGATATATGTAATGCTTTGAATGCGCCAAAGTTTAAAAAGCAAGAATTAGAATGTCTGCAAGAATATGCCTTGGGCATAAAACCTGTTGCTATAACGTTGGACACTTTGCAAGGGAATAATGTGTATTATGGAAATGTGTTTCCACATTTAAATAACTTACAGGTGAAATTGAGAGTGTTTCAAAGTTGTCAGTTGAAATATGCTAAATTATTTGCTTTAAAGCATTGTTAGCAAGCATGAAAGTTCGTTTTGAAAAGGAACTGAGATTTGATGTGAGTAGTTCATACAGGATTGTTGCAGCAGTTTCGCACCCACTGTTCAAATTATGGTGGATGCCAACAAATAAACGTGCTATCTGCAGAGAAATATTTAAAATGCCATACTAGCTGCCTGTGAACCGTTGACAGCGACCAATCTCAATGTGAACACTGACAGCACAATTGAAAATTTTGTTGTATATAATGACGACACTCCAAATGCTGGTGCAGCAAATGGCGCTCAGCAAGTATGCATGTAATAAAGATACAAGTTTGAATGCTCTGAATAAGTAAAAGTCTATTCGGTCACTGTTTGTCAAATTCAAACAATAACATCTTCGGCTCCAGTTAAATGGCTATTTAGCACAGCGGGACAAATACAAATACCTAAGTGATATAATGTTTGAATGACTGCTGCTGCTAAAAACAAATGTGAATGACTGAATAAATGATATTTAAATATAAATGTAGTATAAATGACTAATAACTACTTTTAACCAATGAGAGTGCATAAGAATAAATTTTGAAAATAGTGAATTTTTTAGTTGTAAGTTTGAAAAGTTGTAAAGTATTTTGTATTTAGTAAAATACTTTTTTAAAAGTATTTATAATTTAATACTTTTGAAGTATTTGTATTTGTATTTTTATTTAAAATACTTTTTTGTTCCAGTATTTTAAATACTTTTATAAAATATTTTACCCAGCACTGCCTATGATACCTATGAAGGTATTGTTGCTACCTATGAAGGTATCATATAACTAAGGTTGCTATGGTAATGATATGGTATGAATATGCTGAAGTAAATCAAATTTTTTATCACTTGATAAAAATATTGATAATGACCAATTCATTAAAAAAAATTGTCATGCTATAATAAAAATTTAGTAGCAAAGAGTGTATTTTTGCTACCGTTCTTGTATAATTATCCCACTTGTATATTAGTCACATACATCTATCCACCTCTCATGTATTTAGTTAAACTCTTTCAGCCATCAAAGAAGATAGATTGCATACATACATATCTGTCCTTGACACTTTTTGAGCTTTATTTCAGATTTCTTTTATTATTTGGATCTAGCCTCATTTTATTTGGTTGTGATCAGCAAAAATATCAAAATTTCTGTTTAAATAATTAGCATCTTTAGCAGAAGCTAAAGCAGCAGTAGCTAAGGCTGCAGCAGCTTCATTAGATACTTCATACTTGATTGAGAAATCCTGGCAATATCTAAATAATTCATTTTTAAACTGATTTCAGATCTCTGAATTACTTGCATTTTTTGTTGCAACTCTACAGTATTTTTAATATTTTACTTAAATTGTTTTGAAATTTGACATTCTACTACTAAATTAAAAAATCATAATTGTACAAATTAAGCTGTTAATTGATTTTAATACAACAGTTAAACTATTTTTTTGAAATCACAGTTTTAGCAAAAATTTGAAAAATATTCATTGACATTTTAGCATGCTCGCTATTTGTTCCAGGAGTTTGATTCTTTCCTATCCAAATATCACATCAACAGATTTGTCTCTAGTACATCAACTAATCCTATTTGTAAAGCTCTTTTATTACTAATTTTCTTTCTTTGAGCTTGTATTATAGCTTTTTCTTAAGTCAAATAACTTATCAAGTTTTTAGGTAAACTTTATTTATATTACTTTTGTTGTAGTTTTTAATTTTCAAAAGTCTTTAGCAATGTTCCCTTTAATCACAAGTTTATTGACTGCAAATATTATTCCAAAACCAAAGAGATTGTAGAATTTGCTGATATCTGAATACTTTTTAATTTAAAAAATATTCATATACACGTACATCTTGTACTTAAATATGTAACTGATCTTTCACACAATAAAATTTCGTATTGTAATCTCTCTGTATCCATTACCGATAAGTTCATGCAATTTATAGACATTTTATCATGATAAAACTGATATTTTTTTGTTTAAAATATTAGTAACTTTTTATAGTGAATGAAGAACATCATTTAATGTTTGTAATAAATGTGTTAATTACATCATTTCAAGAAAGTGCTTTATTTGTTTAATACAATATTTAGGATGCCAAAGTGATTATAGATAAACAGAACATGATTAAAAAGCCATTATTTAGGGAGATTATTATCTTCATGTTTTCCTTACAAATAATATAAAGAACCAGTATGATGTCAGACTGCTTATCTAAACATGCATTTACAGGTTAATTACAGTAGCATGCAAAAATTCAGAAACACCAACTTTTTTTCAGTTTTTACAGTATAACCTTTCACAAACTTTCTTAAATAAGTTAGAAATTTTACCAAATGCGCTCTATATTATTTCAATTTAAAATACAAATCACTAAAGTTGTAAAATTGAACGGTTAATTCACTTTTAATTGTTTTTTTTTGAAAAAGCTTCTGTGCAAAAGTTTAGAAACAATTGAATTTGATTAATATTTATTTCAAAAAAGCCAAAATTTACTAAAATTCACAAATTAACAATTTTTTAACAATAAAATAGTTTCAATAAAACACTTGGTGGCATATCTATTTGCCTTTAAAACAGCATCACAATGACGAGGCATTGAGTCTACTAATTTAATAAGAACATCCTAAGCAATATTATACCAACATTCTTTAATCAATGCAAATAAATGGTCTTTATTGGTTGTTTTTCTGCCAACTAATTGCCTGTCTATGTACTCCCAAGGATGCTCAATAGGATCGAGATCTGGGCTCTGTGAAGGCCATTCAAGAACTTTGATTTTTTGTGATTTAAAATATTCCTTAACAGATCTGGCACAATTCTTTGGATCATCATCTTGTTGTAAGATTTATTTGCGAGTCATTTTATGCTTTGCATGTGACAGCACAACATTCTTTATGATGTCTAAATAAACTCTCTGGTCATTAGTCTGACCAACTAATATGATCCATTGTCCATTGTTAACTGACCAACTAATATGATCTTTTGCAAATTTTATTCTGGTTTTAAATTTCTTGCAGATATTAGCGGTTTCTTAACTGGACGACGGCCATTAGATTTTTTTTTTTTGTAATCGATGCTACAGTTTGTGCCATGAAACAGATGCACGAATAAATTATATTTGACAGCAGTCTTGAGAAGAATATTTTTGGAATATTTTACTAATAATCTATCAGACTTTTCTA